TTTTTTTGCGAGTTTGGTTGCAGGTTTATTGGGATTATTGATCTTTTCAAATACCAGCTTTTGGATTCATTGCATGTATCTGTTGTTTTCCTGATTCCAGTTTATTTATTTTTCACCTTACCTTTATTATTTCCTGCCTTATGTTTGGTTTGGGTTTAATGTATGTACTTTTGTTTTGTTTTGGTACTGGGGACTGAACTCAGGACCTTGTGCTTGTGAGGCAGGCGCGATGCCACTGAGCTAAATCCAGTGTACATACTTTTTTTTTTTCTGGGTTTCATAGAGTAGGAGTTGAAGTCATTAACTGAAAACTTTGTTTATTGACATAATTTAATGCTGTAACTGTTCCTCTGAATACTACTGTAAGTGCTTTGCTGGCCTTGAACTTGCTGTGTAGCCCAGGATGGCTTCAATCTTGGAATCCTCCTGCCTCAGCTTCCTGAGTGCTGGGATTACAGGCATGTGGCATGATGCCAAGCTCTTCAGATTTTTAGACGTTTCCCTTCTGGCTTCATTTTTCACCCATTGGCAATTTAGAAGTATATTGCTTAGTTTCCAAATGTTTTGGTTTTTTTCCAGGGCTCACTTTTTTGTGGATTGATAGTTTAATTCTGATTTGTTAAAAAATATACTCATTTACAAATTTCAGTTCTTTTAAATGTGTCATGGTCTATTTTATGGCCAAGAAAATTCTGTGTCTCTGGGTGAATGTTTTGTTTATTTAAGTAAAAGTTGCATTGCTGTTGGATCGATGGAGTTGTCTATAAATGTTAATTGGGCCAGGGTGGTTTATCTTTATCGCCTTTTTTTATCTACTTATTCTGTCAATTACTGAGAGAAAAATAATTGAAATGTCTAATTATAATGTACATTTATCTATTTTTCCTTCCAGTTTTATCAAATTTTGCTTGTACCTTGATGTTTTGTTATGTATATATATATTTAAGAATGTTATATCTTCTTGATGATTGAACACATTTATTATTATGTGATATCACTTTACTTAAGGTTGACTGAAACTTTAACTCTGTTGAGTCTACTAATGAAGCTGTTGAAGATATTCTTTCATTTGTTGCTATGCTTTTCTTAGCATTTTTATTTGATTTTGTTCTTTTTTCCATCTTGTTGAAATTTCCTGTTTGTTCATTGACATTGTCTACCTTTTCGGTTAAAGTACATGAATCAGTTGTTTTAAATTTCTTTGTGTGATAATTTTAGTAGTTGAGTGTTCTGTTGATTGCCTCTTGATGATGAGCTGTCTTATCCTTGGCTTTTTGGGTGTCTCATGATGTTTTATTGAAAGTACATATTGCCAGTTGTAATCCTTTTTGTTCCTTCTAAAAGAACTATCTCAGGAATTGGATAGGTGGTATGTAGTGATTTTTTTGTTTTGTTTTGTTTTTTGATATGTAGTGATTTTTAAACAAGATACTCTGGGGTCTGGAGGCAGGTCAGATCTTTATTAACAATGCCTTCTTTTTTTTCTCTATTCCAGTCTGCCTTCATAGTTTTCTACCTCTTCCCTAAAACTGCAGAAAATGAACAAATCCCAGGTAAGTTGTCTGTTTATTCTCCACTTTGTTTTTAGTGCATTTGGAAAGTTTAAATGGATTCAGAAAATGAAACAAAAAAGTATAAATGAGTTAAATTCAAGAAAAACAGAATAGATGATCAGTGTCAGCAGCCAAAAAGCAAACTGTCATAGTTACTTTTTTTGTTGCTGAGACAAAATACCCAATACCCAAAGTTAAGGAGGAAAGCTTTAACTCAGTTTGTAGAGGTTTCAGTCTATAGTTGGCTGGCCCCAAGGCAGGGTGGCATGGCAGAAGAGAAACAGTCCATGGGAAAGCAAGCAGGAATCAGCAAAGCAGAAAGCAGCCAGCCTGTCTTTCCCTTTTATCCCATCCAGGCTACCAATATTTTGAGTGGTACCACCAGAACTATGCTAATTTTAATCAGTGGTCTAATTTAGTATCATACCTTTAATCCTAATATCACATGTCCTAGATCCAGACAGCTCCAGAAAGCCCCACCTGTGAGTACATGAGGCTTTGGGGGGCTATCTAGATACCAGTTATAACACAAACTTAATTGTCCTGGGCTGGGGATTTAGCTCAGTGGTTCTGGTGCCTGCCTTGCAAGCGCAAGGTCCTGAGTTCGATCTTCGGTACCAAAAAAAACCCAAAAACACAAACTAATTGTCTTATGTTGATCCTGAATACTAATACCTTAGGTCTCTACATTAGGTTTGAATCATTTTTATACACTTTCATACAGGTGATTTTTTAAAAAAATTCTTTTATTGGTACATTTTAGGTATACAATACATTTACATTTATCATTGGTGCTTGTACCTGTACATGATGAATATTGGTTATTATTTTTTTCCCCATTACCTGTGCTCCCTTCACCCCCTCCACCCTTCCCTATTTACATAGATTTCATTTCCATTTTTTTTCTTTTCTCATAATTTTTCCTTTCCCTTCTTTCCTTTCCCCTTCCCCTCCCACCACCCC